GGAGCAGAAAGGCTGACGTTTCGGGTCTAGGCCCGAAATGTCAGCCTTTCTGCTCCTATGATGCTGCTTGGCCTGCTGTGTTCATCCAGCTCTGCACCTTGTTGTCTTGGATTCTCCAGCATCTGCAGTTCCTACTATCTCTGACTTGTTTGTCTCCCTGTTGGGTGGGGCCTTCTCTGGAACAGGCCACAGCCAGAATCTGCAGCTTGCTTAGTGATAGCAGGACATTGGGGAATGGGTTCTGGATCTTGAGAGGAGTGGACGTGGTTGCTGATTCCAGGCAGTGAATTGAGTGAGGGCTGGGATTGAGTCAGTGCGTTCAATGGTGGGAAAGAAGAAGTGGACTGAGATAAATCTATCCAGCTCCTCTTGGCCCACAAGCAGTGCTCTAAAAGGCACTTGCATTTGCCCCAAAGCCATAATTATCTCCATGTAGTTGATAGGTTTCCTGAGGATTGGCTAGCCATGGTGAAGCTGAATTAAATATCAGAACACAGTCTCATTATCTGGGTATTACCAATCCATTTCAAGGCACATGTTGGTGGGTTAAATCTAGAAGTAGGTGGGTTTGAGACGTGGTGGGTTCCAGTTCGAGATGGTTTGAATTTAACATCCCACCCAAGCCCACTTGTTTTGGGGAGTTAAATTACCGTCAAATTTCAAACCTGATACATTTATTTTCCTGCTGTGGTCTAGGGGTCAATAGGCAGTGTCCCTGCCTTCTTCAGCAGTTCAAGTCCCACTCCAGGACTTGTTGGCCACTCAAGGAGCATTCATGATTTGGTTCAACAGTTTGAGAATGAGCCAACATTTCCAGCCAACACCTGTCCATTATTCCCCAAAGTGAAAATAAAAATACGTGAAGATACCAAGCAAAGAATTGTGTCTAAACCAAATCTCTCTGAGATACTCACCTTAACAATTTGTTATAGACATCCGTGCATACATTAGTTTACAGCTTTATCCTGTTACTTTTAATGGAACACCTCTCAATCTTGCTGGTCTGCTGAAGTGGTATTGATCTATTTTTCAGGTCTTACGATGTGACGGTGGAGGAGTTCATGAACACCAATATCACATGTTTGAACAAAAATTTTGGCTACACTGATATCCTGCGCCTAGTGACCTCGCGTTCTGACGATGTATATCCTCTTGTAGAGAATGCAGGTACTTAACTCAAGAATTATGCAATCTGTCCCTTATAATAAATATTAACCTAAACTGCCTTTGGCTAATTTTCATGACAGATTTCACTGTGGTTTGAACTCGTGGCCAATATCATTTGCATTAGACAATTCTGGTGCTGATTTCTGATAACTTCCATTTAAGATTGAAAAAGTAGTCAGTGGTATTGATGGGCATGCCCTAGACAACATCCAGCTGAGAAGTGACAAATAACATTTGTGCCACACAAGTGCCAGGCAATGGCCATTAATGGCATCACCATCTCTGAATCCCACGCTATCAACATTCTGGAGGGGGGGGGTGCGGTTACCATTGACCATAAATTGATTAGAACTAGCGATGTAAATACTGTGACTACAACAGCAGGTCAATGGCTATGAGTTCTGAGGAAAGTGACTCACTTCCTGTTTTTCCTGAAGCCTGTCCACCCATCTACAGGGCACAAGTCAGGAGTGTGATGGAATATTTTCCACTTGACTGCATGAGTGAAATTCCAACAATACTCAGGTGGTTCAACTCTATCCAAGACAAAGCAGCCTGCTTAATTAATACCCTGTCCACTACTTTCAACAACTACACCCTTCCACAATCACAAAGTGGCACAGTGTGTACATTTTATAAGACGCACTGCAGGAATTCACCAAGGATCCCTTGACTGCACCATCCAAACCCATGACCTAGAAGGACAAAGGCAGGAGATGCATGGGAACACCACCACCTCAGGTGTACCTGATAATGAAATATATCCCCCTTCCTTCACTGTCTGTGGGTCAAAATCCTCTAACTCCCTCCCCACAGAGCTCTGTGGATCTGTCCACACCCCAAGAACTGCAATAATTTAAGAAAGCAGCATCTTTGACAGGGCAATTAGGAATGGGCAATAAATGGTGGCCTAGCCAGCAGTGTCCACATCCCAGGAATAAATTAAAAATTAAAAACTTTGCACCCTTGCTTCAGTTGAAAACTTCTAGCTGCACAATTTAAGAGGATGTATTGATGCTGTATAAGGTGTTAGATACCCAATGCAACACTGTGTTCAGAGCTGTTTCCCTCATCATAGAAATAACATCACTAAGTTTTAGGGACAGCAGAAGTGATTTGAAAAAAAAAGGTGACTTCCAGGTATCCAGAACTTAACTCGAGAGCAGTGTTTGTTTTCTTTGGAAAAGAAACGATTTTAGGAGGTCTATTTGATTTTTATTCTGGTGAATAATTCAAATATTGGTGATATTTATAGATGATAAAATCCAATCTTAAGACATCCATCCAGCACAAGGTTACACTACCCTTGTTTGATATTGTTTATTAAATAATTCCATAGCATTATATGATTATACAATATCATTCTGCCTAGTAGTTCATTCCATGCATCAATCCCTCTGATTGAAGAGACACTTCCGGATGGACAGATTGTGTTTAGGCTCTTGAGGAGTCAAAGATCATGGAGAATGGGCAGGAAAGTGGCAGAAGGTGATCTCATTGAATAAAGAGCAGGCTTGAGGGACCATATGGTCCATTTGTGCTCATATTTCTTATTGTTTGTATCAGTCCATGTCCCCTTGTCCTTCATCTGCAATTTAACTTCAAGTGAAATTTCTTTTTCCATTTCAAATAGTCATTTGATAGTACAGAGCTTGAATATTGCAGAGAAAAGAGCTTTTTGTTTCAAAGCTTCTTGTCTTGCACTCATTAGGACAATTTAAAAGAAATATCATTTTTAAAGGAAATAACATTTACTTTGTATGAATGGAGAGTGCTGATTGGTTTGCAAGTGTACTCAGATTGGGAGAACATTGCTATGGAGAATACACTAGTGAGATGATGACTGACAATTAATTACCAAGTTTTGTTTACATTTTAAACCTGTCAGTTTGACTCTTATTCCTTAAGGCATTTCCCTGAAAAGTTTGATGTGACATACCAGTCTTTGGTTGATTAGACAGAGTACATGCATATGCTTTTCTGATCAGTTTCATTACAACTCTCACACCATCAACTCCCACACTGCTGATTACCTGTCCCCAATCCATACAAATATTATGTAAATTCTGACATGACTACTCTCAAATCATATTTAACCATTACTTGTTCCTATTCTGTTTGGCCTCAGGAATTCCAGCTAAACAAGACAAGACTAATTGTGAAAACTGGGCAGCATGAACAAGTTGGGCCAAAGGGCCTGTTTCCATGCTGTAAACCTCTATGACTCTATAAACCCTACAGTATAATAACATACTAGGTTTTTCAGCAGAGACTTCTCTAGTTTATTCCAAATTCCTTTATTCCACATGAGATTAAAGAAGACTAAGTTTTAGAACATAATTGAGAGAGCAGAGATTGGATCTTGTATTGCTCTCCCAATTTGGGATCAGTTTATTTGGCATAATGAGCTTTTTCTTGTCTGAACTTTTTGATGACATTGAAATAATATTGACAGTCTCCCATCATATTTTGAAAATGGAAGTTTTTTACATTTTTGATGATTGCTTTAACGTTGCTTTACAATTTGTATGTGGAAGATTACAGAGAAACTTTTTTTTGTAGCTGCCATGGTACAAGAATGCATTTTGTCCTCACATACCATCAGAGGTTCTCTCTCTGTTAACAGAATCCATGGTGCTAGTGGGATCAGTTCAAAGAAATGAGGTTATCAAACTCCTTCAGGCTCACAGGGAAGAGGAATTCCAGAAGGAAAAAACACATCAGGTGAGCAAACTGCTGGTCGCAGGCACGATGAGCCAAATGGCCTCAAACAAACATATAAACAAAAGAATTTGGAGCAGGAGAAAAGCATTTGTCCCCACCTGCTTGCTCTGCCTTTCAATCTGATCGTGGCTGACCTGGTGGTGTGTCCCAGCTCCACATTCCTACCTGCCCTTCATAACCTTCGACTCCTAATTCTTAGTTAAGAATCTACCTACCTCTGCCTTAAGAATAATCAATGATTTCCACCCCCTCTGCTCTCTGGGGAAGAGAGTTCCAAAGACCCATGGCCCTCTGTGGTGATGCATTATTTATAATTCTGCAATAATGCATTCTATTGCAAAATAATATATTTTGTCCCTAATCATGGTTGAGCAATAATCAGCAATATCTTTGAAAGACCTCAGCACTTGCGTAGATTAAAAGGAAGATTTGAACGTGCTGGTATTTCAGATTTAAATTCTAAAAATAAACCTGAGCAAGCATACTGACTGCCCCAGCAGGTCAGTGATTATTCTCTTTTATTTGTTTGAAATGCAAAGCCCATGGGTTCAAGTTACAGTTTTTCTTTGTTCATTATTCTTTAATACAAAGACCTAGGATCTGTGCTACAACTGATTCTGGCTGTGTTTCCACTCTTTTTGTGTGGTACATGCCCTAAAACAAATCAGAATGGATAATGTCATTGTGACCTGCTTGCTTGTACATTATCTGAAGGTTCTCAAACACTTGTTCATGATGCACATTTATATTTATGTTAATCTTCAAGTCTCTAAATGCAAAACTAATTGGCATGCTCTATAATAACTTAGAAAGAAACATAAAGAGTCACCCAGAAACATCTTGAAATATTTTACACGCAATAAATTACTTATGAATTGCAGTGGCTGAGCAAATGAACAGGCTAAGAACCTAACCTATTTAATATGAGAGCAGAATGAGGTCTGAATCTGTTCACTGCTGATACTGGAAGTTTAATGAAGCTAAAGGGAAGATAGCAAAATTTGATTATTATTCCTTCAGCCTCAATCACGACACCAAACTGAAGACAACTACTTCACTGGGAGCACTTTTTGTTAAATTGCAATTTTAAAACATTGAATGAACTGAACTAAATTTTTAAAAAAAACTCACAGTTAACATAAGTATAATATATCAACCATTTGTTCATTTTCTTCCCCCATTTCAAAGAAGTTCAAAGGATCAAAACCAAACCCATTTCACTCACTCATTGTAAAGAATTTCATTGGATTTAGAATGGGGTCCATGGAAGGTGGGTTTTGAATAGGATTCTCGGAATGATTTGTTGATTGATGTAGACTTAGTGAAATAGGAAAAACTCTGAGTGAAGAAAAGACCATTTAGCCCACATAGCCTGCTCAATCCGTTTGCCATGTAGAATGATTTGATCAGACTTCTCTCCTAAGCCACAATTGGTCACCCCTGCTTTTCTCTTCTTCATTCTTCAGATATGACCGTAACTGGCAAAAGTATCGTTTATGACCCACCCTTAATTATTATTGAGTAGGTGACAATGGCCTGCTGGGCAGTTTTAGAAGGCAGTTTAGGAATTAACCATTGCTGAGAGGCAGGAGTCACATGTAGGCCAGACTGGGTAAAGACAGCAAATTCCCTCCCTCAAAGGATTTTATTCCCAGTTTAATTAATTAATTGAATGTAAATTCCTCCAGTTCCAAGGGTGAGATTTAACTCCTGTCTCCAGAGCATTTGGCTGGGTCTCATCCAGCAACACTATCATTTTGATCCCATTCTCGTAAGAAATACATGAGGGCAGTTTTGTTTTTACATCTGGGCTTACTGAATTTCCTTTGCATAGTTCATAGTGTACACTGATAATGAAGCAGTGCAATTGACCCGGTTTGATTTTCCATCCATTTAAATTAACTCACTCAGGCTTCTTCATGGGGATGTGTTCCTCTTCATCTGATTTTTCTCCATGAACTACACCCAGACAATAAGCTTAGATACAGGGAAATAGAAAATCTGGCCCATTCACATCTTTCACCCACTATCTCCCCAAAAAAGGTTGTCATTAATCTCTCTATTGGAAGTCCTTGGTCTGAAATGTACTTTTTCCTTTGCAGAAAGAAGTGAGTATAAATATTTGGGAAAAGTGCCACATTGATCCAGTAACTTTCCAGCTGTCTCCAAGCACATCTTTACACCAGGTAAATTGGAATATGGAATTATCAGCTCATAATAGATAATTGCTCATTATCAAGATCTCAACATTTTAATTATATTTACTTTGGACAGGTTTTTTAATATTTAGTAATAATATTAGTTAGAAAAATGAAAAACAGATTCACCTAGTACCTGATCAAATTTCTCATCAATCGGTCTTAAAATCCTTTCTATGTAAACATGCTTGCACACAGTAAGATACAATAAGGAGCAATTCAACAAATTGACATCTATTTTGGGTAGTGTGGGTTAATGGAGGAATATTGGCCTGGAGAGTTTAATCCCTTCTTCATACAATACAATGGTTTCTTTCTTATCCACTTGAGCTGTTAGACAGGAACACCCCACTTTGGAAATTTACAGGATTCATGTGTGGTGAGGAATGCTTCAAAATACAATTATAGAGGATCAAATCCACCCAACAACCTGTGGTCTATATGGTTCTCACAATGCAACAAGCAAGTCCAAAGAGCAAAATAATATTTCAGTCTAAGAGCTTTGCATTGGTATGAGGTCATGGAAGTCACTCAACATTTTCTGAATATTTCACAGTTTAACATGATGAAGATTATCAGTGCTGGGGAATTAGTCACTTTCTTCCACTTTCTGGAACCCAACCTCAGCATTAATCGGGCATGTTCTGGGTCAGAAACAAAGTAATGTACGTGACCTAACAATGCGTATAAGTGCATTCTTGGAGAATCACTGCTTATTGTACAGGTGTACAATTTTCATGCCAGCCACTGTAGCTGCTTTGAATTAGTTTGCCAATGTAATGCTGATTTACGCTGGAATATCAGAGGTTTCGTGTTGTGGTCCAGTGCAACCATTAATTTGATTAAAGCAGCTGAGATTCATTCAAAGAAAGACCCTTGCTGCTCGCAGGAAGAAAGGAGAATTACCTCACAATGTAAAACAAAGTTGATAAGACAAGAGCCTGGATTTTCCAGCACATTTGCAACATATTACTCTGAATTCGTTTCAATAGGGTTGATGAAGTAACACCAAGTCATGTTAATTACATACATTTTGAATCGATTCTTTGTGCCTGACACTTTCAGTTCTCACCAGGGTCATTGGCAATGTGATCAGGTCAGCTGTATGTGAAAAGTCAACTTCCAAAATGGGTCAGTGTTATTCACTGCTTAAAGATAAGTTCTGGCTGATGTGTTGATCCTCAAAGGATCAGAAGTTGAGTGCCAGCAGCTGACACTAAAATCCAGGAAAGTACACACTGCTACTTGGAGATAGAAGAATGAATTCCAAGTTCTGTGATTTGATCCACTGTTTAAACACAGCAGCTCTGCTTTGCAGTGCTCTGAGCAAAGGGATTGCACGCCAGGGCTCTCTGACACTGTGCCTGAGAGATTCAAACTGTCACTTGATATCGTCGGCATGAACTCAAAGCCCAGAGCTCCTAACATTTCAATTCAGCAGGCAATGAGTAATGTGGTCATTTTAAAACATTGCTGATACACATTCAAATGATATTTAGAAATGGGACTATGGTAACTGGTGAGGAAAGATTGGAGATTTAAAAAGCACTTTTTTTGTAAAAATCCATTAATGTTGGCAATTGAGGTCATGACCCTTCAGAGTACTGGAGCAGTTACTTAGCGAGTAACCTGGTGGTGGAAAGGAATTGGTATTTGAGCTGCACTGATTTAGATCATTTCATCCAGGGAAATGACAATGGTGCTGAAGGTGGTTAGCATGGACACAATGGACCGAATGGCCACTAGCTGTGCCTTATTGACTGTGTAACTCTAAGCAGTCTCTGGACTCCCTGGAGTGAAAAATTCAGGTGGAGTTAATCTTTGGGAGTGCAGTGGTCACACTTCACCGCACCTAATGGTGGGGACAGATCACAATCTGACATATAGTTCAAAATGCCCAGCAACATTGATTAAGTAAGCTCCCATGAAGTTGGCCTCACCTGGAGAAAGAACTGGATGGTTGCCAGTAGACTTGGAACTGTACTCTCTATGAACTGAAAGCGTACAGCATTGATAGAGTCGATCCCATGATTCGGGCTCACAGCCAGACATTGTGACTGTACGACTGGGTTTAGCAAATTGTGCGGTGAATGTTTGTGGGCATTCCCTTCCCCACTTTTTTTTAGGTTACTATCTGAGCCTGGATTGTGAAATCACTCCTGATGAGTTGTAAATCTTGTCAGCACCGTTCCAGTCTGGGCAGTTCCCTGTTGTTCACTCTTTGCTGGATATAAATGATGGCTGTTTGTGGATTCTAAATTAGACTGTATGGAGTGGACTTTCAGACCCACTGACACGGGGCTGTAAACTAGCCTCACCAGCTGGTGTGCTTGTTCCCTGGCTCTGGGCCATTTTAATAGGGGCAGGTATGTGTGTATCTGTGCGTCAGGGAAGGCAATGGCCTAGCAGCATTATCACTACACTATTAATCCAGAGAGCCAGGCAATGTTCTGGGATTCTGGGTTCAAACCCTGCTAGGGAAAATGGTGGAATCTGAATTCAATAAAAAATCTGGGCTGACCATGAAGCCATTGCCGACTGTTGGGAAAAACCCATCAGGTTCGTTAATGTCCTGTAAGGAAGGAGATCTGCCATCCTTACCTGGTCTGGCCTACATGTGACTCCAGACCCACAGCAATGTGCTTGACTCTCAATTGCCCTTTATGCAATTAAGGATGGGCAATAACTACTAGGCTGCTTAGAGATGTCTATGTCTAATGAATGATTGGGAAAACTGAGGAAAAAAATTCCAAGTGGGACTACAGGCTTCACTGCACGGGTGCAGGAGCAGCAGAAACCTGCCTGAAAACATGACCCCTCCCGCACCACTCTGATCTTTGGAGGGGCTGAGCTGCCGAACCTAATTTTTAGTATAAGTTTTTAAAAGGTTAGAGTGAGGATGCTGCTATCTTGAAACACCCTCTCAGTTTGTTTACCTGCAATGGTGGCTTGTTGCTACGCTCAAACTGAAATTCGCTCTTGCTCAGTAATTGACTGCCTCAAGGAAAAGTAAAGAAAGAGTTAGTTCCCTCCCAGGGTAGTTTCAAGAACCAGAACAGTCCTGACCTTTGTTTCCTGGCCCCTTTCAGGAATCTCCAGCTGAGTGCCTCAGACCCAGTCTGTCTCACACAGTCTGTCTGGCCCCACCACCCTGTACCCGTCTCCAAGCGTCGGGCAGTGGATTTCTACAGAATTGGACTAAATAGCGCAATGGTTTGCCATTTCTTTCTGCAGGATGGCTGACTGGGAAACTCACCCGCGCTTAATGTCTGTCATCGGGTCTATTGGAAGGATCTACTGGTTGATGATCAAACATTTGGCCACGTTGCAAATGCAGCTTCCACAGTCAACAATTTCTTGAGCCGTAAGGGGTGATCTGATGGAAGCTCTCAAGATATTAACAGGAAAAGACATTGTAGATAAACCAAAAACTGAAAGAATTGCGAATGCTGTGAATCAGGGACAAAAACAAAGAACAGAGGAAGGGTCACTGGACCCGAAAATTTAACTCTGTCTTTTCCTCCACAGATGCTGCCAGACCTGCTGAGCTTTTCCAGCAACTTTGTTTTTGGTGTAGATAAACTATTTCCACTAGTTGGGGATTCTAGAACTAGGGGACATGGTCTGAGAATTAGAGCCAAACCATTCATATAATCATAGAATCCCTACAGAGCAGAAGCAGACCATTCAGCTCATCGAGTCCAAAGGGCATCCCAACCAGACCCACCCCTGCACCCTATCCCTGTAACCCCGCATATCCCATGGCTAATCCACCTAACCTGTGCATCCCTGGACACTGTGGGCAATTTAGCATGGCCAATCCACTTAATCCGCACATTTTTGGACTATAGGAGGAAGCTGGAGCACCTGGAGGAAACCCACGCAGACACAGGGAGAATGTACAAACTCCACACAGCCAGTTGCCAAGGATGGAATCAAACCCAGATCCCTGGTGTTGTGAAAGGGCTGTACATCTTTGGAACTCTCTGCACAAATGGCAATGGATGCTGGATCAATTATTCATTTTAAGTCTGAGAGAGATAATTTTTTTGTTAAGTAAAGGTATAACGGGATAGGGCCCAGTGTATAAATCATACATTGAATGGTAGAAAAGGTTTGAGGGGCTGAATGGCCTACTCCTGTTCTTATGTTCTGATAATTTCTTGTGTGCGACTTTATCCTGCAGCTTTGGTCCCAGAGGTAAGGACCAATGTTCCTTCTAAGCTACATGGCCACTGGGAAACTCTGTACACACCAAGCAGCTAATTATCACAAACAGCTTATTTTTAACCAATGGCAGATGGGTTTTTCTCGACAATGGTTTCATCATTAGACTCTTCATACCAGACTTTTATTAAATTCAAATTCCACCATCTGCTGTGGCAGGATTTGAACCTGGGTCCCCAGCACATTACCTAAGTGTCTGGATTTACAATCCAGCAATAATGCCATCGCCTAATACCAGAAGCAATTTCACCCCCGAGATACAATGTATTCTTTGGCAACTTAGGTCAAGAGGTTACCTTCTGAATAAATAATTAACACAAACAGAAATTGCTGGAAAAGCTCAGCAGGTCTGGCAGCATCTGTGAAGAGAAATCAGAGTTAATGTTTCAGGTCCGGTCCTGAAACTGGACCTGAAACATTAACTTGTAATTTCTCTCCTCAGATGCTGCCAGGCCTGCTGAGCTTTTCCAGCAATTTCTGTTTTTGTTTCTGATTTACGGCATGTACAGATCTTTCTGTTTTTATTGAGTAGATAATTAAGCTGTTTGAGGATAGGGTTGGAAATGACCCTGTCGTGCAGTGTTGAAGAGGTCCTGCATTATTTGAGCTGCTAACCTTTTGATACAATATCGGTCTCTTCAAATGCAAGAAGAGCAGTTTGTTTTCTTTCTAGAATGGCCAGCTTTTCACTCTTTCAAGCTACACCATTGAAAAGTGACTCTCTGCTCATTCACAGGATATTCCTGGTGCAGGAGTTTGTTTATTTGTCTGCAGGCGACTATCACTTCACTTCATCATTAATTCATTGCACTTTGAGACCCGCTGATGTGCTAATTACAATTACTGCAGTTAGCAACACCACAGAATTGTGTATAAATATGAATTTATGCGTTAAATGGTTTGCAATCTGTCAACATTTTCTATCTCTGAAGAGGCAGGGTCACACCTGCAGGAACAATAACTTGGAATTGCGGTGAAATTGCTTTGAGAAATACCATTAAAAATGTAATCTATTTTCAGGCGCACAAGCTTTTCGATCTTCTTGTCCTCCAGCACATGTTTGTTAGCTCCGCAGGGAAAGTGGTTGGCTTTGTAACCAGGAATGAGGTAAGACAAAGAGAAAATGTAACCTAGAGGGGAAATAATATTTGCATGTAAATTCAAATTTCTCAGCATCAGATTTATTTTGGCATGCATACTGTTTCGAGAGCACTGAAGATTAGAACAACACTCCTATTCAGCGCTCAAAACAATTAATGGACTCTTCTGGAGATCATGGGGAGAGTTTTAACCCTTTCACAATGGGTGTGACAGGGTCAGGACAGTGGGATTAAAAATCAAGATGTCACATAGTGATCACTGTCAACAGGCATCATTCAGGCCCAGGATGTTCCAATGGTGAAGGAATCAATTCAAGAAAAGATACACCTATGGCTTCAACTTACACCTTGAAATTATGTTCCCCTTTGGAGTAACTCCTCCCTCAGAGCACCATTAGAACCATTAGACCTATTTGCAGCACTGAAGGAGGCCATTTGGCCTGTCATATCTGTGCTAGCTCTTTGCAGCAGGAATTGGTCACCCATCCTCTCCCTGTAGCCCAGAACCCTTTTATTCTCCTACTTTTTTTAAAAAAAAAATTCTTTTCTGGTTTATTTTTGAAAGTCACACTTGAGTGTGCCTTCTCCAGCCTCTCAGGCAGTACATTCCAAATCCTGACCAGTCCCTATGGAAAGAGATTGCTCCTCAGTTTGTTATTGCTTCATTTGCCAATTGACCTCAAATCTAAGCCCTCCTTGGTTTTGAACACCCCCATCAAATCTCCTTTCAGATGAACAACCCCATCTTCTCCATAACAGCAAACCTTTTCTGCACCCTCTCTAAAGCCTTCACAAATTTCCCACGGTGTGATGTTCAGAGGTGTGGTGCTGTACGTGAATTCCTACTCGTTTTAAACTCCAAGATCTGTAGCTGTCTGACTGCTTTCTTAAGCAGCTAAAAGTTGGTTTGCATCCAGCGCCAGACTTCCCAGCAGTGTTGCTAATCAATCATTCCAGCTGCCAAATATTCTATCAGCTAAACTTGCCAGGATCTAAGATGTTATACAATCAAGGGCACCAAATGCTATCACTGTAACATTATAAATGCCCTTTTCTGTGCATACTCATGGGTTTTCTTGAGATGGTCGTATTGCTTATAAATCAAGATCAATGACATTGGTTATTTTGCAGCAACAATAACCACAATAACTAATGGCTCTGAATTCTCCATCAGCTGAAGAAAGTGATTGAAGATCTAGCCAATGACCGTATTCCAGTCAAGCAGTAAATATTAAAGAAGAGGAGAATTACTTGCCATTTTACATACCATCATGGAGCCTTGATTGGATTTTCTCTTAGCCTGATATGTCCCATCACACGCTCCTTCAGTAATACCAGCAAACACATTAAAGTTTGCTTGTCCTCAGAATGCACCTCCTACATTCCAAAACATTTCACAACACTAAAGTTCACACATCACATTGTTTTGATTTCCTCTGCATCATAAGATTATATAACTACAGTATCTTAAAAACTTCAAATAAATAAACAGATGGGTTACATAATCAGATCCCTGGTTGTAGAGAATATTATAATCGAATTATTAACATTAAATCTTCATTGCCTTCTCAGAAAACATTTGCTATGTAACGGAAGAGGCACTTTGAAGTGACTCTTCTGAAAACTTCATTGAGGTATTCGAGAACTTTTGTCTAACACGGGCCCATTCAATCAAGGATGTTCCTGACTGTTTTGCTCAGTGTTGCCTATGTTACCTCATCAACGCAGCAGCAAGAACTCCAAAGGTGTTTATAAGTTAGTAGAAAGATTAATCAGTTGGGCTCGTAGTGTGTCTGAAGCTGCTTAACACACAGGGCCCTGTTTGATTAGGCAATAGGAATTTGTATGTTCATTGTACCTTTCTTTCATAGGAAACGGGCCATAGAGACTACCAAACTTTGCTGCTTTCCCCACATCAATACCCTGACCAGTCAGTGTCAACCTGCCTGGTCAGAGAAATAAGATTGACAGTTAACTGTTCCTGCTGTCATGCCATATCAATGATGCTCTAACCAATCATCACCCTTTTCTCATGCTGTATAAACTGGTGCTCTATTTCCAACTCTTCCATTTCCTGCAGACATTCTAAATGTCAAAACAAAATGTTTGTACGCTTACAAATAGTGATCATTGCTGCAATAAACAGTGCTAGCCTCTGACCTTACTCCACTGCAAAAGTTTACATCATGCGTTTGGCTATGAGTGTTTAGATTTTGCAGTCTCACTCTTCATAATTTCTCAGCTGCTTTTTAAAAATAAATATTTTGTGATGCAAACTCTCCTCGTTCAATGGTATTCACTTCTGAGATTGTTCACTGAAATTTAGCAGATGTTCTACAATAAACTTAGAATTAAATAACAGATTTAATGATGTTTAATTGCTTTTTTTTTCGCAATTGTGGTTGAATTCCAAATACAATTCACAACAAAGACATAAGAGTAAATCACAGCCACTCAGATATTTACCACATATCCTTGCGAACTCCCACACGACACTGTGATCATTGGGGTAAGGGATGACTAATTACTGAAGCATCAAACTGATTCTCAGGAAAAGATCTTCGCGTCCCCTGCCCAAAAGCAGGTCTGCAACACTGCGCGCTCCACCACAGATAAGGCAATGTGGCAGGTTCCAAATCCACACCAGCTGGAACAGGGATCAAACCATGTGCTTTTGACACCAACTTGACCCACACCCCCACTCACCAAGGAGTCTAAGTAGCTGCAGCTATGGGTAGCAGTGGTAGAGGCTCCCATTACATGGCTAACTAGGAATCTCTCTTGCTCTCTCCACTTCCTGTTCATGTATACATTGGAAGGATTTACAAATTCATGCTCCACCTGTTTGGCAATATCATGAATGCAACATCTTTGACCACCGCACTCTGGAATGGGATTTGAACCCAGAGCTTTGACTTTAGAGGCAGGGATGCTTTTGCTGTGGTAAGGCACCACCTTGAAAGATCTAAAGAAATTAAAGAATCAATCGTGATGTGACGTTTATCTTTAGTGATCAATGAGAGGACGGTGCCAAAGTTACACATAGTTACAGTGTTGAGAATATAACAGGAGATGATTTTAATGTCAATCCTTATCACCTAAATGGAGAAGCTCTGTACACCGTGTACCAGAATGTCTTAGTTAGTATAGGGCAATGTATACGTGACCTGTACTAGCCAAGACATATCTGAACTTGTTTCCTTCTAATCTTCTCTTCTCTCCTGTTTTCCCAGAGGTGTTGACTCTTGCTACAAGTACCTCGCCCAACTAATCATTCCTTATGCTCAAGCCTAGACATGAACACTATAGCCCTGCAAGCTTGACCAATTGTCATTTCGGGAGCCGTAATGGGAGACCTGTTGAACTCCTCCATTGACTTTCCAGCTTGTGTGTCACTGGCCTATTTAAGTATGAAGCTCAAAACCCTAACATCCAGCGACATTCATTGGATTGCAAGGGAAAGCAAGGAGCACAGCTAATTTCAGCCCCGGCCCTGTCTTGCTGACCTCTGGGGCAATTGGAAGTTCCTATTTGTCAGTCATCCCAAACGTCAATGAACATGCACCCACAAAGACATACAGAAATTAGAATGGAACAAATCAATGACAATTCAGTTTTTGTTCCAGCTTTAAACAAAGGAAGCAGTAAATTCCCTTATCCAAGAGAATATGGTTTCTGATCCTACTGTTCTGCCTAATTATAAAACACATCATCTTCCATGACGGAGCTGTTGTTGCTGGAATGTGAGTGATGTAAGGGGCTGCCTGTGCTCCTTTGCAGTGTTCTTTGTAATTCTGCTCCACAGGAAGTGGTTGCTGGAAGAGACGAGCAGTTCGGAGGCAAGGTTTCCGTCAGCGTTCCACTGTGGGAAGAAGGGATGGTCGCCGTGTCTGTTTGTAATGGTTCACCAGCCAAACTGGCTACGTATGATGATACAGGAGTTATGACAGTGCAGGAGCCTTCAACATTCAAAGAGTAATAAAAGCCTTGGGATCCAATTGAAAGCTGATCTTCAAGATACACTTCATCTGTATCTATAAGAAAACGAAAAGTAGCATTAAACAAGATAACAAGGTGTAGAGCTGGATGAACACAGCAGGCCAAGTTGGCCTGTTGTGTTCATCCAGCTCCACACCTTGTTATCTCAGATTCCCCAGCATCGGCAGTTCCTACTATCTCTGTAGCATTAAACAAGTGTTGCTTTCCCACATAAATGAGAAACTTATGGAGCACTGGCCTGTCTCTGAAACGTTCGCATACATTTCATTTTCAGAAAAGCATTTTGCCTTTTAATTCTTTCATGGGATGTGATAAGGCCAGCATTTATTGCCCATCCTTAATTGCCCTTGAACTAAGTGACTCGTTACAGTATTTCAGAGTCGACCACATTGCTGTGGGTCTGGAGTCACATGAAGCTGGGTAAGAACGGCAAATTTCCTTCTTTAAATTGTGAAAGTGAAACAGAATTTTTTTACCACAATCGATAATGTTATGGACACAATTTCTGAGACTAGCTTTATATTCTAGATTTATTAATCAACAGAATTTAAACTCTGCTAGCCAGAACTAAAGGGGTGAAAGGCTACTGGGGGAATGTGAAATAATCTTAAACTCGTGCCCCCAGAATGTTACACTTGGTCTCTGGAGTATATTAATCCAGTGATATTATCACTACACTTTTTCAAATAGTCCCCACTACTTACAGCCGGTGTTAAGAGGTTTGTCCACATTAGTTAAGTAACTAACATTATTTTTAAAGAAACAGAAAATCTCACTTAGCGGTTGCTAATTGTTGGCAGTTGTGTCCAAAATGTTGTCACTAAGAGAATCACACTTCAACTTGGTGTGAACTGCTTAAAGACCCACCTTTGCCTCAAATCAGCAAAGAAACCAGTAAATATTTAAAACTACCCACAATAGAGAGTTTCCCTCATTAGTTACAAGACGTATCATTGTAATTGATTTCTATGCTAATAATAAATGATTAGCAGAAATGAGTAGCTGCCTGTAATAAAGGTGAATGGTACATGTGATGGGAACTGTATTAGTAAAGTGGGTTATTGTTTGTAATATGTTCAGACCTTTCAACACAATTTAATGCAAATTGTCTCGTGCTGACAGCACTCAGGGAAACACAGACTCAGGAAGAAGTCCTCAAAAAGGCACAGGCCCATCATACAAACAGTGTAACATCCGTTCAATGCCTGTACTGAAAAATTTATAAATATGCCAGATGTGATCATCATGTTACATGAAGTTTTAACAATTTTCATTCGGTTGCACAGTCCTTGAGTGTTGTTGAGAAAAGACATTTTTGTTGAAGCTTTTCATCTTGCACTCCTCAGGACAATTTGCAGGAATACCAATTCAAGGTAGGGGGAAGCCAACATTAATACTTCATGAGAAAAGGGTGCTGATTGGTTTGTAAGTGAACTGATTGGCAGGGGCATTGCCATGGAGAATGCACCTTTTAATGCTGACCGACAGTTCACAGCCAGGATTGGTTTAAATTTTAAATCAAGTAGATTGTTTCTGATTGGGCAGGGCATCGCCCTTAGAAGTGAACTGGCAAATGGCTGTTGCCTATTTGTCGAGTTGGAGTATTTGGAAAGGAATAAAATACAGAAATAAATGAAAAGAAAATAATTTGAATCGGAGTCTCCACTTTAAAAATTAGCACCAGCACATGTTTGTCTTCTTTCTGCATTGTGATCTCTAATGAGCCCATCACATGATTACAGTCAGTGCCTGAGACAATGATCCAGATGGTTATTTGTTGCATTATCATACCCTGTATTAGAAGGTTAGACTGAGCAACCCACCCTTATCTGCTTTCCAGAGGGACCACTCTCTCCGTGACTCCCTTGTCCGCTCCACACTCCCCTCCAGCCCCATCACACCTGGCACTTTTCCCTGCAACCGCAGGAAGTGCTACACCTGCCCCCATACCTCCTCCCTCACCCCCATCGCAGGCCCCAAGAAGACTTTCCACATCAAGCAGATGTTCACCTGCACATCTGCTAATGTGGTATACTGTATCCACTGTTCCCATTGTGGCCTCCTCTACACTGGGGAAACCAAGCAGAGGCTTGGGGACCGCTTTGCGGAACACCTACACTTGGTTCGCAATAAACAACTGCACCTCCCAGTCGCGAACCATTTCAACTCCCCCTCCCATTCCTCAGACGACATGTCCATCCTGGGCCTCCTGCAGTGCCACAACGATGCCACCTGAAGGTTGCAGGAACAGCAACTCATATTCCGCTTGGGAACCCTGCAGCCCAATGGTATCAATGTGGACTTCACAAGCTTCAAAATCTCCCCTCCCCCTACCGCATCCCAAAACCAGTCCAGCTCGTCCCCGCCTCCCTAACCTGTTCTTCCTCCCACCTATCCCCTCCTCCCACCTCAAGCCCCACCCCCATCTCCTACCTACTAACCTCATCCCGCCCCCTTGACCTGTCCGTCCTCCCTGGACTGACCTATCACCTCCCTAACTCCCCACCTACACTCACCTTTACTGGCTCCATCCCCGCCTCTTCGACCTGTCTGTCTCCTCTCCACCTATCTTCTCTTCTATCCATCTTCTATCCGCCTCCCCCCTCTCCCTATTTATTTCAGAACCCCCTTCCCCTCCCCCATTTCTGATGAAGGGTCTATGCCCAAAACGTCAGCCTTTCTGCTCCTATGATGCTGCATGGCCTGCTGTGTTCATCCAGCTCTGCACCTTATTGTCTAAGAAACTGGAGCTGTTCACTTTTGAAAGAAAGATCACAGCGGGGATCTTAAAGGTGTGAATAAGACTTATGGGAGTATCATCACCCACAGGTTTTCCTCCAAGACACACAGCATCCTGGCTTGGGAATATATCACTGTTCCTTCAGTGTCGCTGGATCAAAATCCTGGAGCTCCCTCCTGAAAAGCGTTGTGGGTCCATCTACACCCCAGGGACTGCAGCGGTTCAAGAAGGCAGCTCACCACCACCTTCTCAAGGGCAACTAGGGATGGACAATAAATGCAGATCCAGCCATGAAATAAGATAAAAAGACAATTGATGGGATAGAGAAAGTTAACCTGGAGGAATTTTATGCACCAGGATAACAAGATAAAATTATTTCAGTTCAAAGTTGGAAAAAAGGAAGTTTAGGACTAGGATAGATGTTCAGAATTATTTCTTCAGAGAATGATCAATAATTGGGATGGGTTACAAAACATCTTTGAAACCATCACTGCAGTAATTTAAGAAGCACAAGAGTTTGTAATGGTAAGGTTTAATCTAGGGACAGAAGGGCTTATTTGTGATCCCGTAATGTTATTTATATTACAGTTGGATAATAAATAGAGGAAGGAATAAAATCTCTTTGACCTACTGAGGTAGTCAACCGTGTTGCTCGGACTACTGCTGCAAACCACCTCTTCAGCATCCAGTGAGGACCAAGCACTCAGTGTTGCCTCAGTAATGGCAAACTGCTCAGCAACTCCTATTTAAATAAAAAATAGATGGAATGAGACAATGAATGGTAAAGGAGAAGACCATCAACATCAAGACTAATAATCGATAATTCCCAAAACAATTATAACTGAACCAGGAGGGATGACTCAGCACTGGGGGTAAAATATCATATCATTCAGTTGGATCTTATTTATAAATTAATCTCAAACTAACCTAAAGGGAAAACAGTCAAACTGAAAAAAGCAAACTTCTAAATGGGAAACCAGGACAGCATCTTGTTCTGGTTGAATATATAATTAATTCCCTGGTTGTGGAAGGCAGGAACCTAGTATGGGCCTTGTGGAGTTTTAACACTGACATTACTGCCATTACTGTTTGAACAATGCAAGTGTGCGTCTGATAAAACTGTTAATGATTCCATTGGTAAATGCGTTAGATTTGCTATATCTATCTCCAGTCTAAAAGATCTCTCAAACCAGATGCTGTTCTTGTTGTCTTCTGTAATTCTTTCAGTCTCTGCTGGCTGTCCAAAACTTTTCCCCATTGCAAAGTCACAGAATTGCTACAGTACTGAAGGTGGCCATTTGGCCCATCATGCCTGCACTGCCAAATGAGCATCATGATTTAGTGGTGTCCTCCCAGCCTTTCCCCATAACCATGCACATTATTTTTGTTCAAATAATTACCTAATGTACTCCTCAACAGTTCAATTGAACCTGTTTCCAGGCGGAGATCCAGACCTGAACCACTGGCTTTGAGACAAATTCCTTATCTGACATTAAGTTTACTTCTTTGGCAAGTCACTAACTCTGTACCCTTTTGTCCTTGTTCCTTATACAAGCAGGAAGTGCCTTGAAACATTTTGTAAAATTATAGCAGGGATTTTCAACAACCTTAGCAGCTTTAATGTAGTAAATGATCCTAGGTGCTTCACAGGTCGATTATAGAGCAACATTTGGCACATAGCCACAGGAAAAGATATAAAATCAGACGACCATAAGATTTGTCAAAGGAATAGGTATTAAGGAATATCTTCATAGAATCCCTACAGTGTGGAAACAGGCCCTTTAGCCCAACAAGTCCACACCGACCCTCAGAGCATCCCACTCAGACCCATCACCCTATAAACCCACCTAATCTACACATCCCTGAACACTACAGGCAATCTACCATGGCCGATCCATCTTGCCTGCACATCTTTGGATTGTGGGAGAAAACTGGAGTACCCGGAGGAAACCCACGCAGACACGGGGAGAATGTACAAACTCCACACAGACAGTCGCCTGAGGGTGGAATCAAACCCAGGTCCCTGGTGCTGTGAGCCACCGTGCCTCCCACAAAATAAAATAAGATAAATTACAAAAAAATTCATAGAATTAAAGGAAGGAAAATGAGATAGAGAATAATCTAGAGATTCAGTGTCAAGAGACTGAAGACATGACCACCAATTGTGGAGTGATTAAAATTGGGGCAATGCAGTGAAAGGCTGGAATGCGACCATTGGAAATACCTCAAAGGATTGGAGATTACAGAGGTAGGGAGGGCAAGGTCATGGAGGGATTTAAAATAAAATATGAATTTTAACATAAAGGCGTTGCTTGGCCAGAAACCAGAAGGAGCGCAAACAGGGCTGGCTGTGAGTTAAGACACAGGCCGCAGAACTGTGCATGACCTTCTAAGTTTCTGTGAAGTGGAATGTGGGAGAGCAGGCATTGGAATAATTGATTCCAGCAGCAGATGAGCTGAGACAGGCCCAGATTTGGCTAATGTTATGGAAGTGGAAACAAGCAGCCTTAGTGACGGCACCTGAATGAGGTCAATTTGGAGTCAAGTGTGACCACCATAATTGTGAACAGACCGGTCAGCCTTAGCCTGTTGCTAGGCAGACAGATGGAGACAGTGGTCAGAGAATGGAGTTGGTGGCAGAGACTTAAAGCTTGGTCTGAGTTTCTGTCTTCCCAATATTGATTTTCTAGTTTAATTAGCTGGGTGTATTCATGGAATAAATCCAATGCATCAATTTCCAACCATTAAACTCATGAGCTGGTGAAGCACAATTTCTCGGTGTCTGTGCCCCCGAGCAGCAAGAGAACAGAATATCTCCATTTTTGGGAGCGCAAGTTGTTCCTGCCGCTGCTTATTCATAAGGAGCCACTAGGGGGAACCAATGGACCATTCACTGCCCTCAAATTGCGAGCTACATTCCTAAACCCAACTTGTACAAATCCTTCAGCAATGCCACAGAGACGCAGTAACTTTTGGGGAAAAGCACAATGTAAATCATCCTCAGATACTTTGACCTCCTTCTGCCTTCCACGGCTGGCAGACTGGTCTTTATTCCTTTCTCTGCTGGGCCTTTGTTCATTGACCAGCGTTACTAATGGAAATGCTGTGCCTCTCTGACTGTAGTAGCATTTCCAGTATTCACTTGATCCAGGTGATTGTCTGTCATCTCATTTATCGAAACATTTTTGGTGATCTCTCTAAAATCTTTCAGGAAATTAAGCCAATCGTCGATATGTGAGAACAGGCTTCAGAGCTGCTTCCATTTTATCATCACAGAATCCCTACAGCTTGGAAACAGGCCTTTTGGCCCAACAAGTCCACACTGACCCTCAGAGCATACCACCCAGACCCACCCCCTATAACCCACATAATCTATACATCCCTGGACACTATGGACAATTTAGCATGGCCAATCCACCTAGCCTGCACATCTTTGGATTGTGGGAGGAAACGGGAGCACCCGGAGGAAACCCACGCAGACACGGGGAGGATGTGCAAACTCCACACAATCACCTGAGGATGGAATTGAACCTTAGTCCCTGGTGCTATGAGGCAGCAGTGCCAACCACTGTGCCACTGTGCTGCCCCAGTTTTATTAATAATATTAAATTTTAAATGATTATTAAATTAAAAATATTAAATTATTTATTTAATATTTTATATGCTGTCGATTCACCTTTGCACTTTTCTTGGCTTTCAGGATTGTAATTCGCTGGATGCTGTGTGTCAAACTTCTTACATTATTTCAATGTCCCTGGCAATGCATGAGCTGTTCCGTTGAACGTTAGGGACAGAATTTTTGCTACGTTTTTCTGCACAAATGGCCACAATCTGATTTACTTTTGGAGGATATTCAACTTTCCTGCGTGCCATTTTGCCCTTGCCTGTTGCGGGTTAGGAATGCTGAGTCTGCAAAATACGCTACCATCCCCATTGAGACTGAGTTCCCCAGTTTAAATGGAGGACAAAAATCAGATTTCTTCCCCCACTCCATTTTCATCTATTGATCCAAGACCTATTGAAATGTTGACAGGACAGTAACAGAACATGTTTCAGTCTCTTGTTTACAAACGTCACAGGTGCTTTAAAGGTTACTGTCTTCACTTTGGGTTTTTTGACCCAGACAGTGAGTTTGCAGCTTCAATTCTACCCTCAGGTGACTGTCTGTGTGGAGTTTGCACATTCTCCCTGTGTATGCGTGGGTTGCCTGTGAGTGCTCCGGTTTCCTCCCACAATCCAAAGATGTGCAGGTTTGCGTGGATTGGCGTGTTAAACTTCCCATAGTGTCCAGGGTTGTGCAGATTAGGTGGGGTAGCCATGGGAAA